AATCAATGGCAACACCTGTCAAATTAGACGTCTACTTTTTTTTTTCTCTCCGTCTATTTTCAACAAATTTGTTTGTTTTTAAATTGTTTTTCGTCTTAATTGTACGATATTTTACATCAAATTGAAAGTTTAAGTCCTGTTTTACCTCAGCAACATAAAGTTTTCGTTCGAAATTTATTTTTGTGTACAGTTTCAGTGTATAATTTCTTCAAGTTTTTCTTCGTTCTGTTTACTTGTTATTGTTGTTGCCTACTGACTGACTGTAAACATGTGTACATCGAGCTGTGAGGTTAAAAGCCAAATCGCTGAGCTGTTGACAATGCTGGAGCCAATATGGAACAAATTAAACCAGCTCAAACATCTTTATTCTGACGAAATTAGCTCCGTGAGTTCGGACAAAGCCGATAAATCGGCAAACTCACGTACTGAGCCAATGGATGAAACTCCGGCACCAACCCAAATTCAGCAGCAAATATCGGACAACGTGTCAAACTCGGGTTTACCGCTTGTAGACTTGCAAAATGTAAACATTTCACGGCGAAATAAAAGCAAGCGGCCCAGACTTGACTCGGAAGAACTGAACTCTTCAGATGAAGAGCAAAGTGACACTTCACCGCTGTGCAAATTGGTTTTTAGTCGTGATGCCAGTGGGAACAGTGGACAAAACGGTGCAAATTCAAAGCCCGTTGATACTATATTGATGCGCTCGGTTTATTTAACCGAATTTCTACCGACAACCGAGCCTGCCGACATTATTAATCACTTGAATAGCATTGAAACTGTCCGACCTTTGACAAATGATTTCAAAATTATCAAGCTCGTGAAGAAAGACAACAAAATGGAGTTGTCATTCGTGTCATTCAAACTCGATGTTCCTCGCCAACACTTTGACAAGGTAATAGCGGCACGTATTTGGCCCAAGAAAATCAAAGCCACCGAATTTCAGGTCAAGTCTGTGAAGTCATCTGCACCGGCAAACCTTCCCAAAACTCATGACAACCATCAAATTCGGTTGCAACTACAAAATTTATCAGCAAAGGCCGCTCAAACTAAGTCAAAAAACTCCAGTGGCACAGTGAGAAACCAACGGTTGGAACCGGCAATGAATGCATCGAACCAGAATTGCAACAAACAACCACTACAGCGCCCACGGAGGGGTCGGCGCCAACGCAATCATCAGAATTTGTGCCAAAAGAGCTGTTGTCTCCAACGTCAGCCTCAACCCGTTGTGAAGAGACAGCACAACGGCTGCACAGGTTACTACGAAGGAAATCGTCACGATTTTCATCGCCGATGTTGCAACTAAAGTCATGCACATCGGATGATCACTGCGTTTTGTGTACAATCTATTACCAAAACTGTCGTAGCATATGCAACAAACACAAACGCTTCTTTTGTACCGCCGCTTCCTGCGATCACGATATGATAATATTAACTGAAACGTGGCTCAGATATGATATTTATGATGCTGAATTTTTTGACGATTCATATTCTGTTTTTCGTAAGGATAGACTTTTTCAACGCAGCGGTGGTGTACTAATTGCAACCAAAAATGACAAATTCGCCAGTGAAGAGATAAAAATCGCCGGTGCTGACGATTTGGAATACGTTTGTGTGAAAGCTACTACTAAATCACATGTCATCTACATCTACTGTGCATACATTCCACCAAATTCACCGCAAACAGTCTACGAATCACATTTAACAGCCATGCACAAAATCGCTACCGATCCTGAAGATGTTGTTATTTTTGTTGGTGATTTTAATCTGCCGCATGTTGAATGGTCAATTGATAGCGACGATGACAACATCATGATTCCAACTAAATTTGCACCGGAGTACACGGCCACTTTCATCCAGGGACTCATGAGCATGGGAGTTCATCAGGTAAATCATGTACGTAATGATTCAAAAGAACGACTATTGGACTTGTTCTTTACTAATGATTTCACCAACATTTCGATTGAGCGTGTAAATGAGGTTAACGCACTGACGGAAGTGGAAGATCATCATCCACCGATATTAGCCACATTTGAGTGGCATGGAAACAATACAACCGAGGCCAACATCAAAACAAAGGCATTCAATTTCAAGCGTGCCAACTATAAGGACATGAATGCACACTTTGCAAATATTAACTTCACCGAATTATTCCATGGAAAGACAATCATCGAGAAGGTGAACTTGCTGCACAAGACTTTGGACGATGCAATCATCAAATTTGTGCCTACTTACATCGTCAAGTCGATACAAAAATGTCCATGGAAAAATAAATTCCTAATAACACTGAAAAATAGGAAAAATAAGGCATGGAAACGCTACAGACGATCAGGCTATCATCAGTCGTTTGAATGGAAATACATTTTGGCATCCCGTGAATTCGATAAACTCAACACGGAACTCTACAACACATACGTGGAGAAAATGAAATCCTCGCTCAAGTATGACGCATCGAGATTTTGGCAATATGTCAATTCAAAGAAGAGCACCGACAACAAACCAAAAGTCATGCAATTTGGTGATGTGCGCACAGCAAACGAAACCGAACAGGCCAACCTGTTTGCAAACTTCTTCAGTAGCAACTACGATGACTCAACGACTCAAGGCGTTCAACAATCGCCTACCGATGAGTCACACCAAACTGAGGAATTCCAGCTCGACATCAATTTCGTGCTTGAAGAGCTGCAAGCCGTGAACACAAAGAAAGGTACGGGTCCCAACGGTATGCACCCGTTGATACTGAAAAACTGTGCGAGTCATTTGGCGGCTCCACTCACCGAGATTTTCAATGAATCATTGTCAACTGGCCATTTTCCTGACAAATGGAAACGCTCGAGTGTGTCACCTATTTTCAAAAAGGGGGCGAGATCGAAAATTGAAAAAACTGTGGCGAAGTTCTTCGAGCATTTGGTGAACGTCAAACTTCTGTCTCTGGTACAGGACAAAATCACCAAAAAGCAACACGGCTTCATGAAGTCCAGATCCACTGCATCTAATCTCACCGAATTTACCTACTATGCCCAGAGAGGCATAAATTCAGGTGCGCAAGTGGACATTCTCTACACGGACTTCAGTAAAGCGTTTGACAGAGTAAACCACAAGAGATTGATTCTGAAACTCAGATCGTTCAACCTGCCAGACAATCTCCTTGCTTGGATCGAATCATACCTGTCCAACAGAACGCAATTCGTTAAGTATGGGAGCAGCGAGTCGAATGAATTCAACGTATCATCTGGCGTACCACAGGGTAGTCATCTCGGACCCACACTATTCCTGTTGTTCATCAACGACATAGTGGACGAAATGGACGACGTGTTCATTTCTTTGTTCGCCGATGATGTAAAAATCGCGAAAATCATCCACTCGAGCACGGATGCGGAAGCGTTACAGCGAGCCATCGACAAACTAAAGGTTTGGTGCGACGTAAACAATTTGCACCTGAACCTTGACAAATGTGCCGTCCTTACAATCACCACAAAAAGGAAGGACATCATCGACACTAATTATAAATACGGTGATTTTACCTTCAAGTGCGTACGGGACCACAAAGATCTCGGCGTCATCATTGACCAAAAGCTTAGCTTTATAAAGCACATTGACGCGGTCACCTCGAGAGCTACAGCAGCCTTGGGATTCATCAAAAGATTTTGTTACGACATAACCGACGTTCAAACGCTCAAAACACTATACTACGCACTGGTTCAGTCTCATCTTGAGTACTGCAATGTTGTATGGCTACCAACTTATACCGTGCATATCGACAAAATTGAGAGCGTGTTGAGAAAGTTCACCCAGTTCCCCGAAGAGAGTACCGTACGGCGGCCAACGGCTACAGTATCACCGACTACAACAAGCGACTTGAAGCGTTGAACATGACATCGTTGGAGCGTAGGAGAGTGAATGCATCTATTGTATTCATGTACGACATCGTGAATGGGATCGCAAATTGTCCCAATGTACGCAATGACATCGCAATTGGAGAGAGCGCACGTAGGTTAAGGCACACAGACTACCTAAAGATTAAAGATAAGCTCATGGACAAACAAATCAGAGCTCAAGTGCCTCAAATATGCAAGTTTGCAAACAAAGTGGCTGAAGAATTCAATAACTCAACCAGCCGTGCTAATTTCATCTCGTCGATACGCAGCGAACAAAACCAAAAATTTAATATTAAATATTGACAAATTTTTATCTTACATCCCTACGAAATGTATAGAAATAATGATATTTATCCGTGATTTTTACACAAACTTTAAAATAAGTAGCAACATTAACTGTGATATAGCCATCCATTGAGTTGGTGATTGACTTTTGACCTGCCATTAATTTATAATGGAAACTACCGTTTATGTTAATGTATTTGCAAGTATTGTAATTTTTTTTTTCTTATGTCTTTCGGTCTCTACTAAATTACAAATTCATAACTACCAACAGGGACTTGTTAGATTAGACGTAAAATTTTTCTTCAATGTATCACCTCTTGATAAATTGAATGATGACTTTTGCAGTCATTACGGCCGTCACTACAGTGTTAACGCTTCAGTTAGTCTTTCATTTTTTACACGTTTAAGTTAGGCTATATTGGACCGTTTACATTTCGGCTAGCTATGCATTTCCATGTATTGGTTAGGTTATCTTGTGTCAATGCTTTTTAGACCAAGTTGTTATACCAATAGAAAAAGACTATTACTTACAACTACTTATTGTATAAAATTACCATATATTGTACAAACACAAAAAGATCAGGTTTTTCACGACTCTTGGAGTCGTTTTCCTGCAAACCAAAATATTCAGCCAGTTTTTGGCGGTGTTAAATAAATAAATAAATAAATAAATAAATAAATAAATAAGTGTAGAAATGTCAAAAGGGTGCTTTAGTCAGTTTTTCGCAAAATACAGGCTTCCCCAATTTTTCATCAAGTGGGCAAGGTCACCGAATTTAAATTGAAATTTTCTATAGTGTAATGTCATAATTTTAAAATAAACTTACAAAAACAATGTTTTGGACACAATAATATGTGTTATGTTTTTATTAAAATATTCACCATATAGTATAGTTAAAAATTAAATTTTGAATGGAGACGATCTGTTTAAGTGCAATTTTCATATATGTTAAACGCGAATTCTGGGCGAGTTTGTTGTGTTGTCTTCTTGTAATCAGTTGGAGGTGGCTTCTTTCCGTTGTTGAACCAATTCTCGTAAACTATCCTCTTGTTCTTTGGAGCATTTCAGGAGAAATTCTTTTTTATCATCGAGAGATTTCAAAATGTCATCACATTTGCCTTGCTTCGACAATAACTCAGTATGAACTTCTGGAAGTGAGGACAGAACAAACATTCGCCCTACTGATGAGTAGACCCTTGTGAAGAAATTTGCTTCGTAAAAATCGCATTCAAATTTTGCATTGAACATTAAAAAAAAATAGAGTGAACTGAACCTTGTGTCTGGTGTGAGGTTTTTCACTTCTTTGTCGGTGATCTCATACTTCTTCTTAGAGGTTTTCAACATTTCAGCTTGAATGTCAAGCATTTTCAATTTCTTCGTAGTTTCGATTTTGTTGACTTGCATATCAGTGAATGCCTTGATTGATAGAGAGAAAATGTATTTTGAAAGTATTAGTACTTTTTGGATGAAAATCTTTCGAGACTTCAAATTACTTGCGTACGATTCTTAACCTCACATATCAAACGCGTAGGTTTGCATTTTTATTCTCGAAATTTTATTATATTTATAATTATAACTCACCCGCTTCAATTCCAGGTCAATTGCGTTTATTGTCGACATTATTCACGAAAAATATTTTTAATGTTAGCAAACAACCGATTAATTAAATGGGATGTATGCAATTTTTGCCAGTTTTCGTCGGAATACTATCCAAATATTCACATACACAAAATTCCTTTGACTAATCAGAAATCGAATGCATTTTAATGACAGCTCAAACGCCAAGTGTCAAATCATTAAACGAAACCAGTCAACAGATTCACACTGTCAATCAATTGATTATATTTTTCTTTATATTTTTATTGAATTGGTCCGTTTATTTTATCGCTAAATATTTTTCGGTGGGTCTTCTAGTAATATTGTCTAGTTATATATTTGTTTAATTGTATAATTGTCTAAGTGAAATAAAATGGATGTGACAGAATCATCGTCAAGCACGTCAATAGTTAAAGATACGTTCAAAGCAACAGAAGATGCTACAACGACGGAAATTACAGATGCAAATGAGCAACTCAGTCCAGAATATTTACAACGAAAACTTTATTTTCTACTTGAGCACTTGAAAAAAATGCACAGCGAATTACCCGAGTAAGATTTTCACTTTGGCATTCACAGTTTTTAGCATTTAACTGTCATAACCGAGTCCAACTATAAAACAAATTATTATTTTCAGGCGTTATCAAATGCGAATACCATACGATTTACTAACGCATTTAGCCAATGCCCTGATAAATGAAACAATATTTGAAATTGTCAAGCGTTTGATCGAAATACAACACGTAACCGAAAAGCATCTCTTTGAACTTAGACGTCAGGCTGAAATGGAACATGAAAAAGAGGTTGAAGGATGGGTGAACAAAGTCAGTGATCCTGAGGAGTTGCAACATATTTTGGCTTTGATGAAAATCAAGCATACGAAGAAAATGAAAGAAACCGATCAAAAACTTATTCAGCATTTGGATGCCAAAGTACTTGATCAGCAAAAAACTCTCGAAGAAGCGGGTGTACCCGGGTTCTATATCACAGAAAATCAAAAGGTATTGAAGTTTAAAAAGAAAAAGAAAAATAAACAATTGGTAATTTCAATTTCGTTTTTTCCTTTACATTGCACACTTCGGCCGGCCGAAAAGGAGATAAAAATTCAGATGCATTTGATAGATTTTATACTTCGGTTGAGTCGATTGAAGTTTGATCCTAATGCTTAAATTGTGACCCAGTACTTGTTTACAAATGTACTTGTATTTTTTATTTGCTTTCATCAAATTGTATTGCTAATAGTAAATTTTGCAAAATAAATGGCGCCATGTCAGGAAAAAAACCTTTCAACAACCTTTCAATATAACTTGTATTTTGACAATTAGTGACAAAAAAGTTCGAAACGAAACGAAACACGCTCGTATTGCGGGCCCACAACCTACGTCTTCATTTTTGAATGATATTCGATTTTTTAGAATAGCTTCGCGATAGCTGTTCGTCCGAACGGAATCCTACAAAGGTATATATATATATATACAAAGACTGTATTGTTCGTATCTAAAATATAAAAAAATAATAATAATAATAATAATAATAATAATAATAATAATAATAATAATAATAAAATATAAAAAAAGATGGTCCCAGATATATTTTATAGAAGGGAGGGAGTGTATTGTGATTGTGAATGTGAATGTTGGCAGCATTGTAACTGCCGCCAATGACATTTGCATCACATCAAACAGTCTGGTTTTCGATTTGAAATCATAAGAAGTTTTAGATTTCGCAACGGTAATGTTACATTGAAACATCGAATGCATATTATATTCGTCAATAAATGAAGTTATTTTCCAAAATTAGTTACAATGTCTGATGAATTCAATAATCGGCATCGGGCCATTTTCGTGAAATTGTTACATACTGCACAAAGTAAAACATCTGCAAATTCGTTGATTGCCGAGCTTCAACGGCAGAAGGAAAAATTTCCTAAGAAATCATTGCATATAATTTTATTGGACATTTCGAAAACGGACAAATTGGCGGAACAAATTTACAAAGAACTTCAAAAAGATTTTAAAACCACGGAGATTAGTGCGATAGAATGTTTACAGCGATTTTTGTCAGCGTACGAAAAATCAAAATTCACTCGAAAAGTTAGCAGTCGCCAGAACATTGAAACTATTACGGAAGATGAAGAGGTTTCGATACTGCAGAAGACTCAACATCAAGCAACTGAAAGCATGGAATTGGCAACCAATACCAATGGAAATGAAGTTAAAACAAACGATATCAAAGATGTTCGAAATAAAGGGGTAAAAACATCAACAGATTGTCTCAATAAATCAGCGTACACATCGGCTCTATATGAATCCATTCAGAACAACAACACCACACGATCAGTTAGCGATGTGCGTATACATTCACAGTTGTTTTTTAGCAAGTCTATCATCGATTCGTTACCCTCGCAAATTATTCAACCCAATTGCTCCGCCCGTTCCATCACTGAACAAGAACAGATATTAATAGAGGAACTAATGTATTCATTCGTTGGAATACCGGGTGATTTCATCACACCCCAAATTAATGATGACAATGGAAACGAAACTTCATTCAGAATCTCTGATCAAATTGATGTGTCATTACGCAATATTGCTCAAGATCTATTGCCAATGGCAAGCCAATATTCAGAAATCCAGAAATTTGTCCAGTGGGGAGACAAAGTTAAAAATCAAATTCTACATGCATTGAGTGAAGTCATACAAATTTTTCTCAACGATTATCGCTTGTCCATTACACAACTTGAAAAAGAAAAGTTGAATAATAACGATTTAACTCTTCACAAATTGCACTATCTTATTCGTCCAAATGCGCAAAAACTGCATATACTGTCTGAGCTGCTTGGAAAGATAAACAAATCGGATATGAAGAGCGGAATGATTCTGTCGATATTGTATGACGAAATTACAATGCAAACTGGAGATCAAATTTCACAGAAAATGCTGGTCGAACTCACTGAACGGGCATCGGTTCCATACATTGAAATGCTCGAACGATGGATTCTCAAAGGTGACCAACTTATATTGGAATAAATCTTTATTCAAATAAAATTAATATTTATTATAATTTCATATGTTTTCTCAAAGGTGTCATTATCGATCCGTACAGTCAATTCTTCGTTGTTGACCATGTCAAAGAGTTAAGTAGCCGTAATTCGCAAATGGATACGGCTCGATATTGGGAGAGTCGGTATACAATTCAACTCGATCGCATTCCTCGTTTTCTTGAAAACGATGCCGATATCATTTTGCGAACAGGCAAATACTTGAATGTAATTCGTCAATGTGGCCGAGAAATCATATTGCCGGTCAATACATCGAATCTCCACTTTGCGGCAACCAATTGTAGTCATTCGATATTCATTAAACAAGCCTATCATAATGCATCCAAAACATTGCTCGACCTATTAATGAAAGAACTTAATTTAATGGGACATATCTCTTCAGGTGATTTTTATTTCGAGCAAATATCATATGTATGTGATATTGTGCAAATGATATTCAAACTTTCTCTCTCTCTCTCTCTCTCTGCCTCTTATCTTTTTAGTGAAGCGTTATTTTCTGTTGCAACAAGGCGACCTAATCACACAGTTCATGGATGCCAGCGAAAAAGAGCTAAGCAAAACGGTGGATAAAGTTTTTCCGCTCTGCCTAAACAACTTGCTTCAATTGATTGTTCGGTTGTCATCGGCCAAAAATGATCCATGCATCGAACATTTATTTTGCGATCTGTTCACAATGGATTTAATGGAGCAAATGTCCAAAATGAATGAGGCTGGCAACCAACACAATGTTGACATTGATTTAAAGGACAGTGAAAATTTAAGCTTGAGTGGTTTAGAGTGTTTTGCATTTGGATATAGCGTCGACTGGCCCGTTTCGATCGTGCTGAACCAATGGGCATTGTCACAATATCAGATGTTATTCCGTTTACTGTTCTATTGTAAACACGTTGAACGCCAGCTCTACAAGGTGTGGATCGAAATTTGTGCTGTTACCAAACGTGTGCCGAAGGAACAGAAGATGCAATGGCGCACCGCATTTGCATTAAGACAACGGATGCTGAATGCCATTCATCACCTTGAAAACTACATGATGATTGAGGTGAGTAAAAATAGCACAAAATAGCATGGAACTTTGATTACATTGCTAAAGTAAACCATTTTGAACACATTTCAACCAATTTTTCAATCAATTGTGTTATTAGGTCATTGAACCAAATTGGCATACTCTTATCGAAAGAATGAAGAATGTTAATAGTGTGGACGAAGTTTTGAATATTCATTCAGAATTTCTTCACAGTTGTGTACAAAATTGTTGCCTTAATCATCCAAATATCCTGCGAGGTGTGATCAACATGTGCGGCGTTTGTCTCAACTTTGCAAAATTCATACAAAGTGATGCCGGTATCAAAGTTTCGCCCAAATGGCAGATAATCATCAATGGCCATGGCAAGGAATTTGACAAGTTTTTGTTTCAACTTCTGAACGGAATTAATGGGATGACATGCGAAGAAATGGCTGGTGCAAAGCTCATCAATTTAGTACACCGTATTAATTTCAATGGCTTTTATTCTGAGAGCTTCGAACAAAATGGTGGTAAAAACAGTGCCTTAAAAAGTGATTGATTTTATGAGAAATTAATATTGATTTTGTTTAAAACACATATTTTTCTTTCCATTCCATTGTAATTTTAATCATTTTAATTTCAATATTTCAAAAAAAAAATTTCAATACATATTTCCTTTTTTAAAAAAACATTCAAATTAAATATGGTGGTTTTATGTTGTTCATTCGTTGTGCTCTACTGTCGCCCAACAGCCCCAAATCGTTCCTCTGTCCTCCTTCGAACTATACGCGCTGGAAAAAATATCGAAATATAATTGTTTATTTTTTCTTTTCTTTTAACATTTTTTTATTTAAAAAAAATATTTTATCAGTTGGCCGTTCTTATATATAATCTTTTCAATTCATTCAACAAGAACAATCATCATCGTTAATCACTATCAGAAACTTATTTCAATCTGGCCAATCTTACCAGTTCTTGTGCAGCTACTATGTTATGAAGGCTGTTTCGGATGTACCACTTTTCATTGTCACATTTTCAGATAATCGCGATTGATATTGGAAACTCTGAAATATGTAGATCAGAACCATAATTTTATTTTATTTTCTTCTAAAATTTTTTCATCACTTTTCAAATTTAATATATCAGTTGGCCGTTCTTATATATAATCTTTTCTATTCATTCAACAAGAACAATCATCAGGAGTAATAAATTGTAAGCTTAAAATGAATTTTGATGAATCTTACCTGTATGTCTAGCATGACATGTTCCAGTTGAGGTTATGTGCTACATGATCGTTTCAATGTGGAATTTCCAAAAATAAAAGAAAATTGCCAATAAAAACGTGCTTGTGTCTATGAATTCGTGGGAAAAAAATTGTTTCCAAAGAAATTGAAGATGGTTTTTGAAAATTATATGGGTTTGCCAATTCCGCTGCAGACTTCATGTCCACCCATATCAAGAACTCAGAACGAAAGAATGAGATGTCATTCAACGTTATTGAACATCATTGTAGTTTTGTATGTGTATTCGTCACTTGAAATGAAGTTGGCTGTAGATGTGTGTACTAATTGAAATTTTTTGAATTGTTAAAATAAATGTATTATTTTGCTGAATGAAGTTGAACAATGTCTGTGAAATGAGTATTTGATTAATTTTTTCGATAGAGCACTAATAATAATTAATATTAGATTATAATTGTGGATGTGAGTTTAAAAGGACGGTTGACATAGACACACAATACTGATAATTTAGTTGATTTTAGTTCTACATGTTGAAAAAAAAATGTCTCCAGTTAGCAGCCTTTCTGATCATGAAAAAAATAAATAATACAGCGCCGCCTGGGGACTAAGTGCAATGTGTCATATTTTCAACATTCGAACTAACACAGACGCACTAACACAGATGCATACTTGTTATAGCAAACTATATGAATGATTCTCTATTTTTCCCACCAGTCTCCAGGTGCCGCTCTGTTTTTCTTGTTTGACGTTTCCTATCTGTTTATACAGACGATCAGAGAGGCTGCCAGTTAGCTACTTTTTCTATCTTAATTAGTATAGAATGAGTTAAAATTCAAACGACACACTAAACTAAGAAATTTGGCTGATGTAGTGTCCGATGACTGTTCACCCAACGTCTTGATGAACGAAACAAGTAAATCGTTAAACTCCTTTTCGATTCCTTCAATATTCGTTGTCGTTTCATTGCGAACCATTTTACAGAAGCGCAAACAAATGCCACAAATATTCATTAGCGTCAGCAATAGGTCTGGATAGTGTAGCATACAATGTTGCATACAAATATGAAGAAAGTCTTGATGAATCGTAATAACATCGTCTATTGTTAACACATGATTCATTCTCGCCGTGAATATATGCCAATTTGGTTCAATCACCTGACGAAACAATGAAATATTGATAAAAAAATTGTTTGGAAGTTTGTAACGTTTACAATATGTTACAACACAGTACAATAATTTTTTTTGGTGATTGCTGTACGTTTCAGGATCTCAAATGCACGGATTTAGAGGAGCAAAAACTAAACAAAACAAAACAAAATAAGAAAGTTAACCGAAATATATACAAAAGAATATTTATATCAAATAAACCACCTCTGGCGAAGAAACGCTGTATGGTGCAGAATAATAATAATATCCACTTTGACAAATTTTTAGTAAGCCAATGAATAAAATAGGTCTGAAACGTTGAATTTTGTTAAAAATCTATTGATATAATCTGATGAATGGGGTACCCAAATTTATGGAAAAGTTTCACTTTTCCGAAAATGCATATATGAATATAGCTTTCTAACCAAATTTAACGTTTTGGACCTATTTTGTTCATAGGCTTACTAAAAATTTGCCAAAGTGGATAACTTTCTTATTTTAACGTCACCCGAAAAAACTAATGATGCAGTTTTGTTTGGTTTTCGGTCCTCTAAAATCGTGCATTTGAGATTCTGAAACGTACAGCCATCACCAAAAAATTGTTGTACTGTGTAATAAAAGGTTCCATGCAATTTTCCTCACCTCGATCATCATGTAGTATTGTAGATGTTGAATTGCATTCAGCATCCGTTGCCGCAATGCAAATGCAGTACGCCATTGCGTTTTCTGTTCTTTTTCGATCTTCTTATTGTTTTTGCTTATTTCAATATTTTGGATCCAAACTTGACACAGTTGCCGATCCACACCTTTCAACCAAAAAAGCAAGCGAAACAACATTTGATATTGTGATAAGACCCATTGATTAAGTACAATGGATAATGGCCAATGGACACTATATTTGAATGCAAAACATTCTAAGCCCGTCAAATCCAAATTGTTTTTTGTCTCGCTGGCACCATCACTATTTCCGATTTCATGAATTTTCGACATCTGCTTCATCAAATCCATAGTAAATAGGTCACAGTGTAAATGTTCAATGCATGGATCATTTTTGGCCGAAGATAACCGAACAATCAACTGCAATAGATTATCCAATCGCACCGGTGTCACTTTGTCTAGGTTTTTGTTTAACTCTTCTTCGCTAGCCTCCATAAACTGTGTGATTAGGTCACCTTGTTGCAGGAGGAAATATTTTTTAACCGATGTTATATGGCCCATAAGATTGTTTTCATGCATGAAAAGGTCCAACAGAGTTCTCGAAGCATTGTGATAGGCCTGTTTGATGAATATCGAGTGTTTGTGGGTCATTGCCGAGAATTCTAGTTTTCCATTACCAGCTGGTGGTGAAATTGGCTGACCACATTGGCGAATGACATTCAAATATTTTCCCGTGCGCAAAATGATGTCAGCGTCATTTTCAAGGAAACGTGGAATACGTTCCGATTTGATGGTGTACTGGCATTCCCAGTAGCGTGCTGTGTCATAGTTTTCCATACGAATTAAGTGAACGTTATCAGTAACAAAGAATTGATTGTACGGATCAATAATCACACCTTTCAAAAGCCATCGCTCGAGCATTTCAATATATGGCACCGACGCCCGTTCAGTCAGCTCAATTAACATCCTTTGAGACATTTGATCGCCCGTCTGAAGTGTTATTTCATCGAATAACAGCGATAAAATGGAACCTCCTTGTAAATCTGATCTCATAATTTTTTCAATCAATTCGGCTAGAATACTCAATGTTTGCATGTTCGGTCGCACCAAGTACAGTAGCTTGTGCAAATTCAAAATATTCTTCGTATGTTCCTTCTCTAGTTGAGTAATTGAAATACGATAATCATTCAATATACTCTGTAATATTTCACTTAATGCTTGCAAAATTTGGTTATGGGCTTTCGAACTCCATTGCGTGAATTTTTGTACAATCGAAAAATGACTTGCCATCGGAAGTATATCTTGAACAATATTGCGCAGTGACACATCAATTTGATCAGATATCTTGAATGAAATCGGTGTAAAATCATTCTCGTGATCGGCTGTAAACTCTGGCACTATATAGTCACCCGGAATTCCAATAATACAGTAGATGATGTCGTCAATCACTAATTGCTCTTGTCTTGATATCGGTAAGGCCAAACAATTGATTGAATATTTCAATCCGACGGGCAAACTGTTGTGTGTGGTCTTGTTGAAATAAAGTAGGCTATGCGGCCGTGTAGTGTTAAATGGAATCTGCTCGAAATTACTGCAATCGAAATGGTCCTGTTTTTGTTTTTGTTGTTGTTTCTGATATACATCTGTTGCTGCTTTAACTTTTTTCAGAATATCTGATATTTTGGAGTTATTTATTTCGTCTTCCGTCGCAATCGATGTATCGTTTTTCTTCTTTGCTGCCTGTTGAATTTCCTTGTACAGCGTTAACTTGGCCAAATATTTTTCCAAGAAATTTTTTAGCCATTGCTCTGGTATGGTATTTTGCAAGTTTTTTGAACTTATGTCGGAATCGGATTCGAAAAGTTTCAAAGCGAGTGAATCGTGTTTTATGAGCTCATTGAACTGACGTAAAATCGATGGATGCACTGATTCCTTTTGAAATTCTCGTATTATTGCGCCAGATGACACCTTTTGTCCCGATCTTCGAATTATTTTCCGCAATAAATCACGCAACTGCTGGTCAAATGCGTCCGACATGTTTTTCTTTCAATTTCATTTGCTAATGAAAATCAGATTTCGATGAAGAAATCGTCGTTTTTCTCTCTAGAAGCTAATTGTTTACAACTTCTGCACGAATAAATTTACGTCATTTTTTTCAGTGACAAATGTCAAATACTCACGGTGACAGATGCATATTATATGCATATATGTGTGTGCGTGTGTTTAGAACGTGGTTTTAGTACAGACGTCCAATGAATTTGCAATAAGATTTGAGCGAAATAATTTTAAATATAAAAGAAAATCTTCCGAAATACATTTTATTCTTTTATATGGGTAAATAAATAAAATGCAGTAAAAATGAAACATTTGAATATTTTAATGTATGTAGAATTTTCCATCTTCGTGAATAGGTTCAGCTTTCTTCTTGGGAAAATATGGATTATGATTTGGATCGGCATTCAAACTGTAAATAAACAAGAGATGGGAAAAATTGTTGAAATTTTTACATCGAAGTTTATATTATAAATGATTAGTAAAGATTATTCTGACTTACTGATAGAAAGAGGTAGATTCAGCGCAATCAACGTTGTACCACCAATCACATGTAAACTCCTTTTGACTAAAAATTGTTCCATTTGTGCATAAGAAAGAGGCGCCTTGGTGACCTTCGCGACCGTCGTGGCACACGTGGTATGCCTGGCAGCCAGTTTCTACATTGGCATACATTCCAGGTACAGCAGGGACATTTCCGCAATGAAAGCTTGTGGGAAAAAAATGGTGTAAAAAGGAGTTTGGAAACTGTCATTGAAAAATGTTTAAAACAAATGTTGCAGTAAATTACTTTGTGGGCGGAACTTCGTGGTATATTGGGTAGTCATGGCCTGGAATCCCGGGGATCTTATGCAAATCCTGTTCCTTTTCTTTATGGAGATGATCTTGATGCTGCAAGTATTGCGCCGGTTGTTGATACAATGTTCCGTAGGTCTTTTGTATAAAAAAGAATAAATAGAGAAGTTGTTCTGAGGATATGTATGTAATACTATGCATAATGCATTATACATAAGTTAAAAATATGAAATTATAGGTGCGTTGTACGCTGTAAGCTGTACGCAAAAAAGAGAATTTCGGTTGTCTCTTCCTTGGAAAATTCTTCGGAAATTTTATTATTCCCAACGAAAGAGTATTTTATTTTATTTTTGCGACATATTTTGAAAAATACATATTGATATGCATAAACTATTTACTAGATTACATGTTTTTAATTTTCATTTAGAATCATATTTTTGGGAGTGTAGAAAAGATTACCTTACGGAAGTAAGGCACCTTGTTTTCATTGTAATCGAATTGAATCTTCAAGATGTTCTTTCTGCTATAAAATACGCATATCTTGAATCTTTTTTTTCCAATGGAAAGTCTATCATGTAGAATGAACCGTTGAATAAATTATGAAATTCACGTAAAAAAAAGCAAAAAAAATGAAATTCAGGCAGTTTAAATACTTCGTATGCATAACTTTCAAACTGGTTTTCATTGTTTGATGAAACACGCTATTAGCTACACTTTATGCAAATTTGAAGAGAGCAAAAAATAAGTTGCGAAGTGCGATAGTACACGACCATTCCACACCAAGTGTAACAAAAATTGCAGATGACCTCTCCGATTTCGCTC